TTTGACCCATCCAGCTGGGTGAACACTATGGGAGTCTTTATTTTCTTCACCCTTAACTCCAGTGCGTTAACCAGTATGGGACTGATCAAACAGCGCAAGCAGCCGGTATCCATTAGCGGAGTTAGCGTGGCTTTATATTCTGTTCTGAGTGCTGAAATAGTCACTTTAAGGGTGGTAACACTCACCGCCTCATCCTCATCGGAGTTGTCCTCCTCCTCCTCCGGGTCAGCCTTGCTTTGGTGAGTGGTCTTGTCGGAATTCCCGCCTGCCTCTTGCTCCTTTCCGACTGATCCGTCTTTATAAATGATGAGGTCTGGGAACAGCGATTCCGTTCCTGCCGCCGCCGTTCCCCTCTTGCCTTTGGCACCGCCAGGTTTCTGAGCAGGGCCCGAGGGTTTCCTCGGTTCCGCCGCTCGCACAATCGGCGGTTTGGGACAAGCAGGCGCGAAATGCCCCGGTTCCCCGCAGCAGAAACAGGCTCATGGTTTTGCCGCTCTAGGATATTTCTCATCTCCTCCTCTCGCTGGCAGTTTCCGGGGCGCCTGCGCAATACCGCCGGTTTTCTGCTTGAATTCCGGATCTACCGATTTCCACTCAGCTTCTACTTCTGCAGCGTGCTCAATCCATCCGTCTAGGGTGTTTGGGCTTCCTCGGGCGAAGGCTAATTTCCACAAGTCGCGGTGCATGCCTTGCTGGAAGCAGGTGATCTTAAACTGCTCCGGCCAATCCGGCAGTTTCCCCGCAATGTTGCAAAATTCCAGGCCGTACTCGCCGACACTGCGATTCCCCTGCCGCACTTTGTTCAGCGCTGAGCGGGCCTTGGCGACTGTTCCGGGATCTTCAAATCTCCGACGCAGAGCGGTTAGGAATCGGCCAAGATGGCGCAGTTCAGGTGCTTGTGCTGCACGAAGTTGAATCAACCACTCTCCCGCTTTCCCGGTGAGCACTCTGCAAATGTAGATCACGCGCTCTCGGTTGGAGGCGAATAGATGGCCCGTTTGCTCCATGCACATGGTGACCTGGGCCATAAAGCTTGGCACTTCATTCGGTTCACCGCTAAACTTCTCGGTTAGCCCCCACTGTTTTAGGAGGACGTCTGGGTTGGCCTGGGCTGGGAAGACTCGCTGTTGGACCCCGGGGGGGGCTGCGGGCGCCACACCTGGGGCAGCCAGGAGTCCCTACACCGCCGGAGCCACTGGGGCTGCCGTCGCGGGGGTGGTAGGGGGAGCCAGTAGTGATTCTTCCACCCCTTCTTCTCCGCATCCCCCCTCCCTTTCGGGAACCCTGAACAAACCTGAGCGCCGGATTAGGTCACTCATCCCCATCAATTCTCTCCTCAACATGCTGTTCTCGGATTGTAGTATCTGCACACACTCCTCCAGGGCTCCCACGCGGGTGGATTCGATTCTCCCCATAGTCAGTGCCCAGCGTTGTTCACGGGCCATGTCCAGGAACGACATTCCCCCAGCCAACTCCTCCATGCTCCATAACTTGGTCACACGCCGTTCAGGTTTTTGTGGTGGTGGAAACTGCGCGTAGGTGGTGGTTGGGGTTCCTTCTTCCATCTCCGCAGCCGCGGGAGGTTTTCCGAGAGGGTTTTCCACGGTGGATAATTCCCCGGGTAAATCCCCCGTAGAATA